TGGTCAGAACCAGTTCAGACGGTGTCCAGTTGGTCAGAACCAGTTCAGACGGTGTCCAGTTGGTCAGAACCAGTTCAGACGGTGTCCAGTTGGTCAGAACCAGTTCAGACGGTGTCCAGTTGGTCAGAAGCAGTTCAGACGGTGTCCAGTTGGTCAGAACCAGTTCAGAAGGTGTCCAGTTGGTCAGAAGCAGTTCAGACGATGTCAGAACCAGTTCAGACGGTGTCCAGTTGGTCAGAACCAGTTCAGAAGGTGTCCAGTTGGTCAGAAGCAGTTCAGACGGTGTCAGAACCAGTTCAGACGGTGTCCAGTTGGTCAGAAGCAGTTCAGACGGTGTCCAGTTGGTCAGAACCAGTTCAGACGGTGTCCAGTTGGTCAGAACCAGTTCAGACGGTGTCCAGTTGGTCAGAACCAGTTCAGAAGGTGTCCAGTTGGTCAGAAGCAGTTCAGACTATGTCAGAACCAGTTCAGACGGTGTCCAGTTGGTCAGAACCAGTTCAGACTGTGTCCAGTTGGTCAGAACCAGTTCAGACAGTGTCCAGTTGGTCAGAACCAGTTTAGACGGTGTCCAGTTGGTCAGAAGCAGTTCAGAAGGTGTCCAGTTGGTCAGAACCAGTTTAGGCTCAGGGACTGACTTGAGTCTCTGTGAACCCTTCAGTTGTGTGGCTCACCAGTCCGTCCTTGCAGGCTGTATTTTACTCCAAGTGTTAAGAACAGTTATGATAAGGTTATGCTAAATATTTAAACTACATGATTAATACAATTTAACTTTATCCATTAATCTCAGTTCTGCTGGGAGAACCTGCCATTGTTCCTAATGGAAGTGTTTCCTCTTTGATCAGATTTATGACGGGGCTGAACCTCAGACTTGAGACATAAAGAGAGGACAGAGGGGTGAAGCTGACACTGCAGTGTTTCACTGCAGATATAGAGACCTGTCAGGATATCAGTTATTAAAATAAAATTGAAAGGGAATTTTCCTGAATAATGCTCATCAACTTTTGTTAAATACAAAATGTTAAATACCAAAGCATGTCAACGGCTCAGCAAGACGTGGTCTGTTTTCTTTCTTCCAGCCCATAATTATTTGAAAACACTTATCAGCTTGTGTTCTGCAGGGCTCCCTACTCATCCCAGTGTCTCTTAAAAAAACTCATTAATAAAACATATTTTTGTTTTAAACACATAACAGCTTGCCCCGCCCCCCTCAGGAAGGAGGTTGAGGAGCATTATGTGTAGAACCACTAGACTGAGGAACAGCTTCTACCCTGAGGCTGTTAGACTCATGAATCTCTAACCAGGAGAATCACTGAAAAATCACATCACGTTGCTGCTGATCAGTTTCATGTTGCTGCTGATCTGTTTCATGTTTCTGTGTTCATGCGTGCTCATCTGCTCACACAGACTCATGTTCATGCTGCTGATGGACGTATTGTTTTTATGCTATTAGTGCTTATTTTATTAATTAGTTGATGTTTTTCTTAATTCATATCTTAGATCTTATTACTGTTTTTATTTTCCATTTTATTGTTGGATGTAACTGGGACCCTGTGTACATAATCTCGTTCCACCACATGTACCACATGAGGTATGAATGACAAATAAATCTCTGACTGACTGACTATAAAACATGGGGGCTTGTTTTCAGCAGGGGCAACCAAAAACTGTCTGACACAGTAACAGCTTCATGCAATATATTGTTCCAAAAAGGGGCAGGGCAATATATTGTCCCAAAAAGGGGCAGGGCAATGTATTGCCCCCCAAAAGGGCGGGGCAATATATTGTCCCAAAA